CGTTGCTTATTATTCCATTAGGCCAGACGAGCCGTGCCAGTGAGACGAGACTTGGCACTCCGTCTTCGTTTCGATACGGAATTGAATTGGACTCCCTGAAGGAGTTGGTTGCCGGGCCGTGTTGAAGGCAAGTAAGACGACAACGAGCCTTTCCGCCCCGTGGGTTGAATTGAGTTTCCGTGAAATCATCGTCGTATATGTGATGGAAACACGAAAGAGGCATTGATTGCGTCGTGTTCTGTCATGGGGGCTTTATCATGAGTTCGCTTTCTTTACCCCCTTTTGACGCGTCCTCAACAGCCACAGCTACCGGACTGTGCTGTCAGCTCACAGGGATTCCAGGTTGCACTCATCGGGTCAGTCTCACGACAGACGAGCTCGACTGTCGTGCCATGCTCAGGGGGCCTGTCTGCTGAGATCTAGCACGTCAGCGAGGTGTCAAAACGCGGCTTTGTAGCACAGATGGGGCAGGTATTCGTGGAACGGTTGAAACAGGTACGTGGAGTCCATTGTTGTATTCCAAATTGACTGCTTGCTTGTCAGATTCTTCTTTTTCTTTATAGGAGGACGAACGGGTCATGTTCTATCCGGTATGTTACATCGACGAGATTGGAGAAAGCGACTGGGTCCAGCTCGCATTGCAAACTCGTCACGTTACTCTTTTTTTGATATTTGCCTACTCTCTTCATCCGCGTCCGTTTCAGCTCAGTTGGCCTCCCTCGACTATATAGACGGCGCTCCCTCGAGCGGGCCGGCTCACCACCACGGCCTGCTCCTTCTGCTCGTCGGTCAGGTCGAGCTTGGAATAGTACTGCTGCTCCAGCGCCTCCTTGACGGCCGGCACCTTATCGGCCGGCACGAGGTGCACGCTGCATCCTCCCCACCCGGCGCCCGTCAGCCTGCTGCTATAAGCCCCTGCGCCACGTGAGATTCGACATATCTCGTCTAGCTCGGGGCAGCTGCACTCGTACAGGTCCCTGCACGAGTCCTGGGTCTCGTTCATGAGCCGGCCCAGCTCCTCGTTGAACTGCGTCGTGTCCGTCCGCCCCGTGTGGAGAGGCCCCTCGAGTAGGGCCAGGAACTGGACGACGCGCAGCGCCTCGGTGAAGACGTGCAGGGCGCGCTGCCTGAGCTTGAAGCGGTCGGCGCGGACGGGGAACCTGGACATGAAGCGCTGCTCCAGCTCCGGCACGGACATTTGGAGCGCGGAGGCGATCTCCTCCCGCGTGTAGCCGTCCTCCCGGGTCAGCGTCTCCTTGGTGATGTCTATCAGCCGGCGCAGCTCCTCCTCCTTGGTGAGGCTCTTGGCGGCGGCGTAGTCCGACCCGCCGTTGTGGTAGAAGAAGGCATCGTGGAACCCCTGAAGGCTGATGCCCAGGATGGGTCCGGTGACATGTTTGTTGGAGGTGACGAATGATTGCGCGATCACAAAGCAAAGCTCGGGCCTCGTTGGGGGGAACTTGACGGGCCGGGCAGACAGGCTGGGGGTGAAGGAGACGAATGTGGCGGATCCTTGCTCCGAGAAGACGGAAGCAGCCTGGTCCATGCTGTGGCGGTGATTGTCAGCATTGTACTATTACATGCGATGCATACGGCAGGGGGGGGATCTGGTGGTGCGATTCAGTAGTGTGGTGCTGGCCCCAGATGTAGGGGTGAGGGGGAAGAGGAAAGGGAAGGGGTGGGACGTGTGTAGGCTTGCTGCCTGCTGCAGGACAAGCGTACATGAGGCCGGATGTCGCTCCGTGGACCAGCAGCAGAGCAGATAACGTGTATCCACCTGCTGCGAGGAAGATCATGAGGAATTTCCCGGCGCAGATTACACGGGGTGGGACTTTACGGGAGGCAAAGCAGAGAAACGGGGTAGAAGGAAGACGTACCCTCCAGAGTTGACGCCAACCGCTCGCTCACTGACGATGGCGAGCTCAGTCAGCTCCTTCTTGTCGACAGCGGTCTCGCCGTTGGCGACCATGACGGCCAGGGCGCTGGCGGTGACAAAGGCGGCGCTAGAGCTCAGGCCGCCGCCGACGGGGACGTTGCCGTCCATGAGCACCTCCATGTCGCAGGGCCGGAAGCCGGCGCCCTTCTTCTGATAGAGGAGGCCCAGGGCGCCGCGGAGGCCGCTCTTGAAGTAGTTTGTCCACTCGAACTTTGAGGAGTCGATGTCGACGTCGCCGCCGAAGGGGACGTCGAAGTCGGC